CCTTCCTCCTCCCGCCTCCTCCTCCTCCTCTCCTTCCTCCTCCTCCTCCCTCCTCCTCCTCCTCCTCCTCCTCCTCCTCCTCCTCCTCCTCCTCCTCCTCCTCTCCATCCCCTCCTCCTCCTCCTCCTCCTCCTCCTCCTCCTCCGCCTCCGCCTGCTCCTCCTCCTGCCTGCACCTGGGAGGTTGCAGTCGGCATCGGCGCCAATCGGTCGCTGAAACTAGGTTTTCTTGGTTTTCCAGATTCCAATCTACTTGAATCGCCTTCCTGCTTCAGTGATCAAGTGGCTTTGCCCTTTCTGTGCTGCTTAGGAAGCGGACGGAACCCAATCTATTTCCAACGCCTTCCTACTTCATGTTTCTACCTACTTCTTCCGACCCATGGGTACCTGCCGCCCCCATTCCCCAGGCCTGCACCTTGGGAGGTTGCAGTCGGCATCGGCGCCAGCACATCTGTGGCCGAGATAAGGCCTACGGTCAGGGACTTTTTGACGGAGTGTTGTTCCGCCAAATTCTGGCTCACCACGCTTCGGCGCGACGCGCTGTCCATTTCCCGGTCCACAGGCGTCCACGTCCCGAGCTTTTCCCAACTTCCCGCCCCGCGGAGCGGAGCGGCACGTTATCCGCTTGCAGGGCATAGCGCGTCGCCGGGGCCGCCGCCGCGACACGCTATCCCGATCAATTCCGTTTTCATCGGGCTTCATTATTGGGCCAAATCCGGGATATCTCGGCGTGATGGCCCCTCATTCGGGTTTGGTAGCCTTTCCTCGTTCTTGCGAGGACCTCTGCCAGGAGTTGCCTCCTAACGTATCGGAGTCAGCTTTCCAAAGAAGTGTGGAGGAGGAGGAGGAGGAGGAGGAGGAGGAGGTAAAGGAGGAGGAGGAGAAGGAGGAGGAGTGGGAGGGGAAGCAGGAGAAGGAGGAGCAGGAGGAGGAGGAGGAGGAGGAGGAGGAGGAGGTGACTGAGCTCCCTCGTGCTGCTCCTCCGCGCTGCCGCCCTCGCCCGCTCCCGAGAGAGGGGACTCGGAGACCGGCTCGCAGGAAGCATGTGCGTCACCCGCAACTGGTCGGTGCCCGCGATGAACAAGTGGACGGCGACGCACCTGACGGCAGGACCGCCGCGGCAGAAGCTCGTCGTGGGGGGAACGGTAGGCTTAAGTCGGGCCTGTCCCTCTACAGGAGTTACAGGAGGAATACTCAAAAAGAGTCGAAAAAGAGTCTGGGCACGCTTTTTTACTATTTTGGTGCATGTTGGGGGTATCTAAAGTTTTTCGCCCAAAATCCCCCTGTAGAGGACATGCCCGACCTAACGGTAGGGGGAGGGGAGAAGGCTTCTTAAAAGTAGCCTCCTTCTAAGCAGCCTTCGCCCATTCCCCCGGAACCCCAGTGTGCGCGCCGCCAAGAGGGGAACGAGCAATGACATGGGCACAGAGACCCAGAGGCCCGCGCGGATGTCTCGGACCCGCGCCGGAGCCCCCCGGCGGCGCCTCCGGCGTCCTGAAAGAAGCGGGTCCTGAGGGAAGCGGGTCTAGGTTTGGCACCGCTATTGGGCTCCCGGGGCCCGCACGGGCCGCTGTCAGAGAGCGGCTCGGGGCGAAGAGCGCGCGTTGGCTCGGAAGGCACCAGGGTTCGGGGGTGAGAGGGGGGTGTCTGATGACGGGGGCCATGAGATCCCCCCAGATTTCATGGCGCCTCCTCTTATTTCAATACGTCCCAGGCCCCCCCCCTGGGCCGCGCACGTGCCGCTGGCCATGATTTGCGCCCCCCCCCCTCTTGGACGCCCCATGGCGCCCCCCCCTTGGCCGCCCCCGAAGGGTCCAGGACCCGTCTTCCTCAGGACCCGTTTCACCCTATGCTAACGTGGTCATGCGCACGCATGTGCGGAAGGACGGGCGCGGGCGAGCGAGCTGTGCGGCATTCGCGGGCATGGGCGCTTCTGTCCTTGCAGCGGCCCCTGCTCCTGCCTTCGAAGTTGCTGCCAGAGGCGCCCCTGGCCCAAGCTGCCCCCAGGATCTGCACCCCTCACGATGCCTGGGGGGCCCCAGGGGCCCCAGGACGGAGCCAAAAGCTGAGGACACCCTGGGCTGGGGACACCTTCAGCAACCCCCGGTCCCTGCTCGCGGCTTCCCGGCGCGCCTCCTCCCCCGCAGCGCCCAGGCCTGCTCAGCGTCAACGCCACCTACTTCAGGAGGCTTGATGTCCTGGAGGGCTGTCGGCAAGAGGGCGCGGTCTTCGGCCAGAGGCTTGGCAGGGCGGGGCGGGGCGGAGACCGCGGCAGGGCAGCGAGCGGCCAGCCAGTGCGCGAGCGGCGCATGCGCAGGGCTGGGGACACCGCGTGCGCAGGACCCCACGTGCTCACATGCACACGTGCACGCGACCCGACGTGCACACGTGCATCCGGGGAGGAGGAGGAGGAGGAGGAGGAGGAGGAGGAGGAGGAGGAGGAGAAGGAGGGAGGAGGAGAGGAGGAGGAGGAGGAGGAGGAGGAGGAGGAGGCACCGAGGCCGCTGCCCCTCCCCTCGCCGCCACCACGGCCAGATGCACCTGGGGGAGTCCTTGTCAGAGCGCGCCCCGGGCGAGGTCTGGGGAGCAGCGAGACCTCCTCCTCCTCCTCCTCCACCTCCTCCTCCTCCTCCTCCTCCTCCTCCTCCTCCTCCCCTCCTCCTCTCCCCTCCCTCCCCCCCCCCCCGCGCAGCCCTGCGACCAGAACCAGAGGGTCATGTCTCACCAGGGGGGGCGGGGGGGGGCGGGGGGCGCGCGGCCCGCATGTATCCGCGCGGCTGTTCGAGTGGGCTCTCCAGGCCTTCGTGCCCCGGGGGTCAAGCCTGGCAAGGGCTCGAGAGTCGCTGGGAGAGTACTGTGCGGCCTCGACGCGCCCACTGCAGGTACGGCAAGAGAGAAGCTGGTATTGCTCCAGCCCCTCACAAACTTGGTCAGGAGTGTGGGGTGGACTGTAAGCGCCTGCAAGCGTCTGCAAACTCGATGCAACCTCCACTCTAACCGCTCAGCTCATGTGAGCTGCATGTGGCCGCCAAGTGGCGCTTCTCTCATCCAGGTTGATGTCGGCCTGAACCTGCCCGCTCGGACCTCGAGGCCCGACGCCCTTGCCCAAAAGCAAGATGCAACGTCGCGACAAAAATCACGACCAGAGCCATGGACCCCTAATATCTCTTGTGCGTGCTTCGAGCCGGATCCACCGTGCCGGTCCTGGGGCCCCACGCCGGGCGGGCCTGCCCGGCGCGAGACGACTGCAGCGCCTGTGCCCCGCTGGGGCACGGGGATTGATGGGCTTGTTTTCCATCACCACCACCATCAGTAGGAGGGAGAGGGGGTCCCCCTCCCCCTCCTCCTCCTCCTCCTCCTCCTCCTCCTCCTCCTCTACCTCCTCCTCCTCCTACTCCTCCTCCTCCTCCTCCTCCTCCTCCTCCTCTACCTCCTCCTCCTCCTCCTCCTCCTCCTCCTCCTCCTCCTCTACCTCCTCCTCCTCCTCCTCCTCTCTCCTCCTCCTCCTCCTCCTCCTCCTCCTCCTCCTCCTCCTCCTCCTCCTCTACCTCCTCATCCTCCACCCGGGGCACGCTGCCGGGCGGCAGGGAGGCTGCTGACGGCGCACGCGGGCTCCACGGACCTGCTCATCGACGCGGCGGACCCCCCGCCGGTCCTGAACGACTCCGCCTGGGGCCTCGCGGTGCGGAGCGACGGCTCGGTGGCGCGCTCGGGCCGGATGGGTACACACTGCTCACCTCTAGTTCTTCGAGAGTTCTCTGATTTCGTGGGGGGCCAAGCTCTTCTCCTTTCTAGTTGTTCTATCCTGGGCCTCTTCCTGGCCACCAGGGGGCCAGGAAGAGTTATAGAAACGAGCACGATCAGAAGTGAGCACGATTAGCAAGGAACGACGTGTAGGAGCACGGCGCAGATTTGCCGGGGCTGGAGGCAGTCGTTGTGGAAGGCGGGGCTCCCGGACGTCCAGTGTCAGGATGGTTCCGGGCAGGGCCCCCCGGAGCCCTCGGCCCCGCCTCCCCGCCCAGGGCCCGGCCCGAGAGCGGCAAGAGACGTGCCGGCAGCCGTGCGGAGCGTCCGTGTTCTGAGGTTGCCCGAGGCGCTGGGGAGCAGGAGGAGGAGCAGGAGCAGGAGCAGAACCCAGACCCCCTAGAGTAGCGAAAAAATCACGACGGGAGGTTTTTCGTCATTTTCAGCCTCTGGGGGCCCTTGCCGGGCCTCGGGACCGTCAAAAAACGACTCACGATGAAAAGCCGGTCCCGGGGAAGGGGTCGAAACCTCTGGGGATCGACGTCATGAAAAAATCATGACGTCGGGGGTCTGGGAATGATGATGCTCTCCTGCGCATTGATTTTCTGACCGTCGCCGTACTGATGCAGGGCCCCGAGTGGGCCATCTTCGGGGTACCCTGAGGCCGTTGTCAGGCCCTCTTGGGGGCCTGGGTTGGCTCCCAGTCGCCTGGGGGAGGGGGTGTATATTAATAGGGAACAGTGATAAACCCCTCCCCGAAGGGAAAGAAGGAGGGGTGGAAGAGGAAACTCCCTAAACCACCTACGCCCAGAGGGCTGGTGGGATTTCCCAAGCCTGCCCCTAAGAGGAGCCCCGCAAGGCCACAATACGGCCCCCCAAACGCCCCAGAGTGCGCTGTGACGGCCCCGGAGACCACCCAGAGTGCCTCCCAGGCGGCTTCTGGAATCGCCAGACGGGCCGAGAGCGCCCCAGAGGAGCCCGAGGGAGCCCCAAGACGGTCCACGGGGGTCCCCGGGACCCTTCGGAGGAGGAGGAGGAGGAGGAGGAGGAGGAGGAGGAGCAGGAGAAGACGGCCGAAGATGGCTTCAAGACAACCTTCGAGGCCCCTACGGGAGCCCGAGAGCAGGAGGGGCGCAGGAGATGGGAGGGAAGAGCGAGAAGGGGGGGGCCAGCGGGCGGAAGGGGAGGAGCCAGAGGGAGGAGTAAGCAGAGGGGAGAAGAGACGGCACAGAATTTGGGGAGGGCGAGCAGCGGGGGAGGAGCGCGACAGATATGCCAAACGGTTCGAAGCATTTGCAGGACAGACGCGGCGATGCGCACCCATCGTGTCGATGTCCCTGACTAGTCTAGCCTGCCTTGTCAGAGATGGCCCTAGGTGCTCGCGTGTCGGATCTAAAGGTCCAGTGTTAGTTGCCCCGTGCTAAGAGGGATCCCCTTTTCCCTCTTCCGTAGCCTTTAGGCTTGCAGGGCACTCAGTATGTGTACATGCTGTGCCACACGTGTGTACTGAAAAGAGCTGCCCCTCTACCGTGATCACATTACAGTTTCTGTATGCCTGCAGACCCCTCTGACGGCCCCGTGGACGGAGGGGAAGGGTCTAACAATGGTAAGCGGAGCGTTGGTGGTGCTGAGTCCACGGAAGGGGCAAGATCTTTTTCAGTCCATATGCGAGATGGCGAGACACAGACTGCAGGCTATGACGACAACCAGCAACAACAATGGAGCTGGGGTTCAGAAGGGTGGAGTGCGTGGTGGAATAGTCCGTGGTGGGGAAGCTCTTGGACCGGGTCCGATTCCAGGGCGGAATGGTGGGAAAAGTCTAAAGAGGCAGTGAACAGGGACTATAGCGCACCCCCGCAGTTCTTAGGACTGGAGAGTCTTCAGATGTACAAAACCAATTTGACAGCATGGGCCAACCGCACAGCATACAAGCCGCAGCAGCGGGCAAATAGGGTGCTGGAAACGTTTCCGATCGAATTGCAGGCTCGTTTCAAACCAGCGTTGCCAGATTTGGACAAAGAGGAAGGTTTGAACTCTCTCCTGGAACACCTGGGGGTACTGAACGGTGAGCGTCCGGGAGACGTGCAGAGAGATGCGACAAACAAAGCTTTGTTCGACTACTTTATTCATCGGAATGAGAGCATAACGGATTTCGCGTTGAGGAGAGACGCACAAATAGCGGAGGCAGAAAAGGCATGGATTGACACTACCGGACTCTGTACTTTCGAAATATTACGAGGAGGGCGCCCAGCTATCAGCACAAAATAGAATAAATCTTCGCACTCTGGCCAATGGAGCCGAAGACAGCAAGTCTATCCGACAGGCGCTACTCAAGTTGGACATAAAAGAGAAGTCAGTACTACCGACCCCCGCCGCAACGACCTCCCGAAATTTCGTGACAAGTGAGGAGTGCGAAGTTTGTGAACAGTCGGGGCCAGAAAATGATGAAGAGTGGGTAACTTACGTTGACTATGATGATGTAGATTTCCCAGAGGACGAGGTAGATCAGGTATTCGCAGCTTTTGACCATCAAAATATGACGGAATCTGAGATTGCGTACGTGTTCGGTGCAATCGTGGGCGACAAACTCGGAGCAGAGAAGAAGAGAACTTGGCAAGAATCACGCAAACTCAAACAAGCAAGAAAGGTGGACAGAGATTTCTTTGATCGAAAGCGCCGAGATGACAGCCGACCTCCAAAAGCAGGATATAGGCGAGTATCCATCAAAGAGTTGAAGCGACGATCCAGGTGTGCTAATTGTGGGCAGAAGGGGCATTGGAAAGACGAATGCCGCAATCCATACAAACCCAGACCCGAGAAAAGAGATGATGATCGCAAGGACAACCGAGGCAAGGATGGAGGTAAGCCGCCCAGCTACTACTTCGACTTGTCCGGTGAAGGTGACAGCAATTTCTCGTGGCCATCGATGTTGGGGCTTGTGACGGAGAAGCTCGAGCAGATTAGGGTGTCGGATTTCGTGGGCATTTCTCTCTCAGACCTGGGCCCCAGCGCCTTGGTAGACACTGGAGCCGGACAGGCTCTCATCGGCAAGCCAGATTTAGAACGGATGATCTCTGCATTTCGAGAGCGAGGCTTCGATATTCCAGTCATATGGGAAGCTATTGACAGGACAGCGGCGGGTATCGGCGGAAAGGTGCAGCCGATCGGGAGAGCCTTCGTGCCGGTCAGCATCTACCAGTGTGGTGTGATAGAATTTCTGGTACTGCCCACGCCCTGTCCGCCTTTACTGCCGGCCAGGTGGCTGGATTTTATCAGGGCCCACGTGTGCATGCCCGAAAACGTTCTGAGGATCAGCGGCCAGGATGTGGAGATCCCACTGCATCGGCATCCGGCAGGTCATCGCTCAGTCAATCTTATCCAGGTTCCCCCGGAGAAGTTCAAGATAGACCAGGCGGTGATAGATCAGCTGCCCGGCTCCATCTTCTGGGACGGCCAGGCCGGCTCAGATCAGGACCGGAGAGGGGGCAGGGTAGTGAGAGTCAAATCCTCTTCTAGTTTTCGGACCGAGGGGACAGCGGTGCACAGTGTACATAGAGAGGAGGATGAGGAGGACGAAGAAGAGGCTGAAGATCAGGAGGAAGAGGAGAAGGCGTCAGGACCCAGGAAGATCCGGCCAGGAGCCCGAAAGCTGAAGACAGGCCAGGAATCGTTCTCCTCGACTGAGGCAACTAGGGCAGAAAGCCGCGAGTTCGGCCTCGGCAGTGCCAGTCATTCCATTGCGACTCTTCCGCAGCCCATTTCATCCCAAGCTTTCTCAGCCGACATTCTGGAGAAGTCTGGCGAACAGGCAGATCATCCCCATGGTCAAGTTCTACAACAAGGTGCAGAAGCCCTCGCGGATTTCGCATCTACGTCGTCAGCTTCAGAGGGCATCCGGAGCGGTGGACGCCGAGGTCACGGAGGACGACGAGGAGATGCCCATCAACACGGAGACTGAGACGAGCCTCGATTTCACCCTCGAGGAGATGACCTCGACGGAGAAGGAGTGGCTCTACAGTGGCGAGATGGACTTCCCCGTGCAGGTGAAGCGCTGGCGGCGCATTGCGCTCCGATTGATCACCTTCGCCGCCCAGGTGCGTCTGAGCTTGGCTATGGCGGAGCTGATCCCGATGGCCTTCAAGGAGGAGCACGATCCGGTCGAGCTGCGCCAGCATCCTGCGTGGGCGAGGCGATCGGGGAGCAACTCCACGAGCGTGTACACTCACTGTTCGCGCTGCGGTCTGAGGCTGTCTCTTCGGGACAAGACTCCAGAAGAAAAGGCCGAAGCTCAGGAGCGCAAGACCCTGAAGGAGAAGAAGAAGATCAAGAGCATCATCGAGCAGGTCAAGAAGGAGATGCCGTTCGAGCCGCCTCCCTCTCACATCGATGCGAGAGCCAGCAGCTCAGCAGCGGGGGCGTCTTCGAAGGCCACGGCGATCAAGACGGCGGCCGTCCCGAGCAAGCCGCCGCCCAAGCCTCCGCCGACGGCCAAGGGCGGAGATCGCCCCGTGCTGATCAAGAGGGCCCCCACGCACCCGGACGACCCCTGGCGGTCAGACCAGCCGATCACTCGGAGCGAGTTCAACGCCGAGATGAGCAACCTCATGACGAGGGTCGAGACCGTCATTCAGGCGGGAGTATCCCATATGGCGTCGGCAGCATGGATCATCCCGGAGCACCCGAGGGAGGACGAGGAGCAGCCGGAGGAGTTCGGCTGAGATCCCCCTCTGGCGCCCGACGATCGCAGCCGCGATCTTCCATAGTGCCGGCATGGACCCTGTCACAGGAGGCTCGGAGGAAAGCCTCCCAACGTTTGGAAAGCGAGCTGACTTTGGCCTCAACGGCTAGGAGGGCGTCTGTAAGCATCAGGAGAAAAGCTCAGGACACGTCCGAGGTTTTCTGTTTGGGCCCGATTCTTCATCTCGACAGCGGTGCGGAGGCCACTCCAGAACAAAT